CCGCATCCTTTATTCTTACTATTTTACGGTACAAAAGAGACGGCCAATGCCATAACAAAAAAATAATTAGAAGGTTAATTATTGGGTAAGAACGTGTGCATTATATATATATATATATACAATTCTTAACAAATAGACTAATGAGCAAAACAAGGGAAACTTTTATACATTAAACATTCACTTTGGATTTTTCATCAAGCAGTCATTGAACTCGCGTCCATTATGTTAATTGTTTATATTAGGAACTTGTGCTTTGGGGAAGAAAATGCATCACGTATGATCAATTCTATCACTAGAATCCTAGTTTCGTTATTGCATTATGAGCGCAGTATTTCTTTACTTTGAAAGTGCATTATTAAAATTAAACTTGATGTATTTGTTTGCAAATAGCCAAATACTTTTAGGACGGAGGGAAATATGTGAGAAATAGGGGAAAAAAGAAAAAGGAAGAAATAGAAAAGAAATAAATAAAATTTAATTTTTAAATCCAAGTGTGTGTGTGTGTGTGTGTTTGGTAGGAAGGAGGGAAAAGAAAAAGGAAGAAATAGAAAAGAAATAAATAAAATTTAATTTTTAAATCCAAGTGTGTGTGTGTTTGGTAGGAAGGAGGGAAAAGAAAAAGGAAGAAATAGAAAAGAAATAAATAAAATTTAATTTTTAAATCCAAGTGTGAGTGTGGGTGTCTGTGTGTCCGTGTGTGTCTCTATTTGTGTGTTTAGGATTTAGGATTATATATTTAAATTATAGTATTAATTAAAAAATTGAAAGTAAAATGATTATTATACAAATATTTTTTAAAGAAAATATTTGAACAATAATTACAATTTTAAAAAATATTTTTTTATTATTTTAAGAAAATTAATTGTATAAAAAAAATAATGTTGTATAAGTTAGTTAAGTTGTTTTATAGAAAATTATTTGTAATTCTAACAAAATAATATTTTTTATCATATCCTTCTGGTTCATCACAGATATAGAAAAGACAATACAATAATGTTATGTGATTTATTATCTTGACATGCATAAAACATAAGATAGGATTATGTTTTTATCCTATTGTGATATCTTATTTTATTCTATCATATCCTGATTACTAATGAACTCTAATATTATTGTGAATTATACTTGGCTCTTCTGATCCACAGAGATATGACACAGATCCAGCCGCAAAGGCAGCAGCAGCTACTGTTTTAGCATCCAAGTTGGGCGCAGATTCGGGATTGAAAGTGTATGTGGGGGATGAATCTTCTGGTGCTCCAACAGGGAAGACCAGGGATGTTGAAGTTGTGCAGTCTAGTGGACTTCGAAATCGCAAACAAGTGAACTCGTCCACTAGTCCAGGGACAACTACACCAAATAATTCTGATCAACAATTGGTTGGTTCTGGGAAAATTGATCAAACTCAAACTTCTGAGCATAATCAGCTTGTAGTCGTTGAACATCACGATCCTCGAAGTTCAAAAATGAATGATGGAGGATGGATTGCCCGAATTGCAGCATTGCTTGTTGGTGAGGATCCAACGCAGTCTTATGCGCTCATATGCGGTAACTGCCGTATGCATAATGGTAAGTTGACTGCATTTGATGTTAATGTTTTTGTTCATCATTCATACACATTCATACACACAGTAATGGCTAATTTTCACTTCTGGATACGGTTTAAAGTGTGTTTTTTATCTACTTATTATTCAGGTCTTGCTCGGAAGGAGGATTTCTCATTTATTACTTATTACTGTCCACACTGTCACGCCCTTAACAAACCAAAGCAATCGGATGAGCGAATATCTGCTTTAAATTCCCCGAACACCGAGTCTCCAAAAACAGATGACAGTGAAGAAGTTAAAAATGCTAATGTTTCAGCAGCTGGCAGCGTAATCACAAGCAATAATCCCATAAAAGCTAGCCCTGAGATTGAAGAGGTATCTTCAAGGGAAGAAAGCTAGCTAGTTAAGAAAAAACGAGCCTCATTTGGGGATGGACTGTTTAGGTGACATGTCTTGCCCCTTGTTTCATGTCACGGACCAACTATAAGGAAAACAACTTTGCATATGGTTGGTTTCCTTGTTGTTGTTGTAACAGGAAGAGTTTTGATATAGTACTTTGAAACTCGTGATTTACAAATTATAATACATAAATTAGATGTCTCGTTTGTGAATTAAGGCAATTTTGATAATTTTTTTCCGTTTCTTTTTGGTTGGGATAGGCTTGGTTTCAAAATTGGACTGTATCTTGGAAATGTGGAGCAATTTATCGAATATGTAAAGGGTTTAAATGTTGCAGCCATAACTCCATTATGATCTTATACACAATGTTGAAAATAGATGGATCGGATTGAATCTGAAATATATCTTGATCTCATCAAATTCACTTTAATTAAATTGAATTAGTTTGATGTTTTATATTTTAATCTTTAATTCAATTCAATTATATTTAGTTTGGGATGGATAGATCCTGAATTTATTTGTAAAATTAAAAAAAAATCACAATAAAAACTAGTGAAATATATTTTCATGACATCAATTAATAAAATATTTAATATTATAGACTTCTTTTTTAACATTATAAAGTATTGTTTGTAAAGGTTGGTTTAGTTGATAAAAATTAAATTTATCTCAAAAAGTTATGGGTTCTATTTCTATTGATGTGAAAATTTTATTGATAGATGATTTGTAAGTACTTTTGCAAATACTTATAAAGTCTTGAGTCTCACGATTTAACTCATCTAAATTTTATTGTAAAAATAGAAATTATAAAATATTACCTTTTTTTTACATAAAATATGATACTACTTAAAACATTAAAAATTACAAATTTAAAAAGTAACATATTATTAAATTAAAAGTTAAATCTCAACTCCATAATCTACAAATTTATCGTATATCATTCTCAACATTACAAACTTAACAAAATATTTAAAGTTTTATAACCAACACTACAAAAATTTTAATACCTAACTTATCTCATCTTTATCTTTTATTAATAGTAAAAATTTGATAACTCAATAATAATAATAATTAAAAAAATAAACTTAATCGAATGAATCAATTTGATCAATTCTTATAACCCAAGTTCTAAGATATAAATCAAATTAATTGAATTTTCAATTTTTAAATCTAAATTAATCCGATTGTTCGAATCAATTCAATTTTTTCGATTTAAATTAGATTGAATTCATTGGATAATTCGATTCAATCCACGGCTACCTCTAATCAGCTCCCTAGTTAATTGTCAATGATTAGCACACCACATTTGGTTAGAAATAGAAAGTATTGAATGGGTAAAAAGAAATAAACGAAAAGTATGAAATAGGAAAAGTAACTCCATAATATTATTTATTTAAAGCAGAAAGTATGCCATTATCATCTTTAGGCGGATAAGTCAAGAACCAATGATGGTTTATAGTTTTTCTTTTAGTTGGAAAAGCTCTCATAATCTCATTGCTTATAAAATTAATATTTTTTAATGCTAAATGGAATATTCCTACTGTTGACAAAAGTCCTCGCATACGCATGCATGTCTAAAATGATTTTTATGTAAATTATAATCAGTAACTTTTTCCAATCCTAAGTATATAAAAAAATCACACTAAAAAAATTAGTTAACACTTCCTCTATTCTCTATTATAAGAAGAAGAAATTTTTTTTTTCGTATATTAAAAAAATTATTTATATTAAATTTTATTATTTCCATAAATTTTTTCTTAAATTATTTTTTTTATAAATACAAAAAAATTAAAATAACTAAAAGATCATGCATTAAAAAAATTATTTTATAAAAATATCATTAATTGATAAAAAATAATTAAATTTGATTATATTTTTAAAAAAATGTATGTTTTTTGTTTATAATAGAGGACAGAAAGAGTATCATTTAATTACACTAATTCTATTAAAAAAATAACCAAATTTTTCAAGTTACCTTTTTTAGAACTTGTTATTAAAAATAAAAGTATAAAAGATCATTGAAGATCGAATCTCAATGAAACGGAGAAGTTATTTTTTTTGATATGGCAGTTTTAAATAAAGTATATTTAGTTGAGATTTACTTATCTTTAAAACAAACATGAAGTTTTTTTTTTTCTTTCCTTATATTAAGAACCGTAGAGAGTATGTGTGTAATAGAATAATGATATTAACAGAATATGTGGTGGCAAAGATAAAAAGAACAGGTCCATATGCACATATTGTATTAGAACACTAATGCTCTAGGATTTATATGCTTTCTTGAACCAAACTTTTTCTCAACCATATTGTACTATCTGCGTCGAGAAGCTGAACTTGAGCTCGGCACTAAAGTACTAAACGACATCGAATATACGCCACATGACATCGGTCAGAGCAAAGGCCACTATCTACAGGGCCGAGGTCAACCTCAGACCCAAATCAACGTTACCCTCGCCTAAGAAGAAAACTCTAATTCACATCAAGATACGTGTGCACTATATATATGAGACGATTACACTATCAAAGACTAATTTTAGCATCGAAGTCTCTTTTGCAAGTACCACCCCCACTTCGGAACAGCCGAGTACCCAGCAAGGAAGGCTTACCAATCTTGCCTAGTAGATCGTCCCTCCCGACCGATCTCCGGTAAAAACACATATATTTGTCAAACTTTACTATGTTCTTCAAATTTTCACTTGGCTCAAGTGAGGGATAATCCCTGTTTCATATTAATTAATCTCAAGTTTACTAGCATGTTGAGTGTGTCAATTGGAGAACACTGAGGTCTGTTAGTTAATTGGTAATACGTCCACTCATTGTAGTTGTTAGTGTCAGTTTAATTATGTAATGTTGAATACTAAAAGGCTGAACTTTATTACTAATTACTAATTACTATTACTAATTTGAAATAGAGAAAATTTGATGTTTAGTCAGCGTATGTCAAATTGGCAAAGGCAAAATCAACCATAAGTAAAGAAAGAAAGAAAAAAATCAAGTTTTTGTTCTAGTTGGCACTAAGGGGAATGCCATTGGTGTCGAATTTTCATGTCAGTATAGAAAGGGAAAAAATGAGTTAAACGTCACAAAATAAAAGGAGAGGAAAATATGAATAAATTTAATTTTTATTTTTAATACTAACATACAGTGTGATAGATCTGTTATGTTGTTGCAAATTCAAAACAATGAAAAAAAAAAGTTGCACTATGGTCATATATATAGCCTTACATAAAGACACATTAAAGAAAAATTGCAACCCACGTTTTACAACCTACTAACGTGGAGAATAACTAGGAAAACATTATCTAATTCCTAAAAGATAGGGATTCTTCAAAGCACTAAGTAACAGACTTGAAATCTAATCTAAATCTACAATCAGACTCAAATTAAAGACATAACAAACTTCAACATCCTTCCTTAAACTGAAAACCCAATGTATATTTAATTAAAGAGCTTATACAAATATTTATAACAACAATACTGCATAACAAACCATCAATAGAAAGATAAACAAAAATCATCTTATTTAACAAAATATCATATCTCATTTCTAACTACATTATCATTTATCTATTTAATTTGTTACAACCTTTATCTACAATTACTTTATCATTTATCTCTTTAACATGTTATAATTTGAGTTTTGAAAATCATTTGTTCTCTAATAAATTCAATTTTAAACATATTTATTTATTGTAAACTTACTTGTAAATAAATACTACTAAGAAAAAAACATTTCAACTTTGCAACAACAAAGTTTATATTGTGATGAGATGTATCTTTGACAAATATCTTAAGCTAATTTCAAGTTTTTTTTATTAGTTAAAAAGTTTGTTTCACCATAATATATATTAGTAGTATTTGCTAAATAATCATTTTAATAGGTTGTAATATTTTGTGATAAATTACTTCAATAAGATAAATTACTTCAACAAGATATTATATTTTATCCTTTTAACTTCTTATCTTTTTCTCTTATATATTTTTATCTTTTTTTTTACATAGAGTAGGAATTTATACTTCCTTTATGGATAATAGGAATTTTTAAATTTAATTCATGCTATTTTATTTTCATATATTTTATATTATATTATTTATTTTAAACATGATTACACTGTTTATGCTATTTATTTTATTATTTTAGCATTATACTTCAAAATATTGATAATTGATTAATATGACAATAGAAATGGTATTTAAAAACACATAATATTATTATCAAACTAACCAACATATATAATAAAAGTATGACTTTAACTCAATTGTAAATTATTTTTATTTTATTTTAAACTCAGTCGAAGTGTTTTTAGATATAATAACATAAGATTAAAGTATAATACACAATATGAAAAAAAATTGAAACTAAAAAGTGTAATTAAAGTATTTTCACTAAAAATATAATTATAAGAGTTCAAAATTAGTTAAAAAAAACATATGAATATTTTTTATAAGCAAACAAATTAATAATTATCCAAAAATATATTTGTATGTAGGGGTGAAACTAGCTTAATTTTTATGAGGGGGTCAAGTTACATGTAAATATATTTTTTAAAATTAATAAATTTAAACTAGCTAATTGATAATAAAAATTAAAATATAAATTAAACAGAAAAAAAGTTATAAAAAAAAAGTAATTTATGAACAGAAAAAAGTTATAAAAGAAAAAAGTTTAACTAGTAGCCATTGCAAGTCTGGAACTAAGACTCTAAGAGTAACACAAAGAAGCAACAAAACAATTCATCAAAATGAATAAATGGGTCTCTCAAGTATAGAATTATGGAACTGCTAAACTGCAAAACTGGCGAATTGCAAAATTGGTGAATTGTTGAACTGTGAAACTGGTGAACTACCGATTTGTGACTAATTGATTGTCAAGTCATGGACAATGGACTCGTGGTGGCCTGGAAACTGTAATTATAATTTTAATATGTCTGGAAACTTGTTTTCGTCTCTAGTCGATGTGGGACTTGGGTTTTTCCCAATACCATGTATTCAGTTTACATCAGAACAAACTCCTAATAGACCTCGAAGCTTCACAAATTGATCAAGCTTTAATGGCTTGGTCATTATGTCTGCAACTTGTTCTTGAGTATGACAGTGGACCAGCTTTACAATTCCATCCCTTGTGAGCTCCCGAAGAAAATGAAATCTGACATCTATATGCTTGCTATGACCATGAAGAACAGGATTCTTTGAGAGCTCAATAGCTGAGCTACTGTCGCAGAAAATCGTTGTGCCACTATTATGAGCATGATTAAAATCAATTAAAATTCTCCTTATCCAAATGGCTTGACAAGCTCAAGAAGTCACAGCTACAAACTCAGCTTCAGTGGTAGACAAAGTGACTATTGGTTGTTTCTTAGAAGACCAAGAAACAG